TAGTTGTAGTAGTTGTTGTAGTAGTTGTAGTAGTTGTAGTTGTTGTAGTAGTTGTTGTAGTAGTTGTAGTAGTTGTAGTTGTTGTAGTAGTAGTAGTTGTTGTAGTAGTTGTAGTTGTTGTAGTAGTTGTTGTAGTAGTTGTAGTAGTTGTAGTTGTTGTAGTAGTTGTTGTAGTAGTTGTAGTAGTTGTAGTTGTTGTAGTAGTAGTAGTTGTTGTAGTAGTTGTAGTTGTTGTAGTAGTAGTAGTAGTTGTTGTTGTAGTAGTTGTAGTAGTTGTTGTAGTAGTTGTAGTAGTTGTAGTTGTTGTAGTAGTTGTTGTAGTAGTTGTGTAGTTTGTAGTAGTTGTAGTTGTTGTAGTTGTTGTAGTAGTTGTAGTTGTTGTAGTAGTTGTTGTAGTAGTTGTAGTTGTTGTAGTAGTTGTAGTTGTTGTAGTAGTTGTTGTAGTAGTTGTAGTTGTTGTAGTAGTTGTTGTAGTAGTTGTTGTAGTAGTTGTTGTAGTAGTTGTAGTTGTTGTAGTAGTAGTAGTTGTTGTAGTAGTTGTTGTTGTAGTTGTAGTTGTTGTAGTAGTTGTAGTTGTTGTAGTAGTTGTTGTAGTAGTTGTAGTTGTTGTAGTAGTTGTAGTTGTTGTAGTAGTTGTAGTTGTTGTAGTAGTTGTTGTAGTAGTTGTTGTAGTAGTTGTAGTTGTTGTAGTAGTTGTTGTAGTAGTTGTAGTTGTTGTAGTAGTTGTTGTAGTAGTTGTAGTTGTTGTAGTAGTTGTTGTAGTAGTTGTAGTTGTTGTAGTAGTTGTTGTAGTAGTTGTAGTTGTTGTAGTTGTTGTTGTAGTAGTTGTAGTTGTTGTTGTAGTTGTAGTTGTTGTTGTAGTTGTTGTTGTTCGTCAACTCGCTCCCCTCACGCAGCCGCCGCGTCGTTGCCGTGGTTACCTGGGGCACGTGACGTTGTTGTTGTTGTTGCCGTGGTTACCTGGGGCACGTGACGTTGTTGTTGTTGTTGATTGTTGTTGTTGATTGTTGTTGTTGATTGTTGTTGTTGATTGTTGTTGTTGTTGTTGTAGTTGTTGTTGATTGTTGTTGTTGTTGTAGTTGTTGTTGATTGTTGTTGTTGTTGTTGTAGTTGTTGTTGATTGTTGTTGTTGTTGTAGTTGTTGTTGATTGTTGTTGTTGTTGTTGTAGTTGTTGTTGATTGTTGTTGTTGTTGTTGTAGTTGTTGTTGATTGTTGTTGTTGTTGTTGTAGTTGTTGTTGATTGTTGTTGTTGTTGTAGTTGTTGATTGTTGTTGTTGTTGTTGTAGTTGTTGTTGATTGTTGTTGTTGTTGTAGTTGTTGTTGTTGGTTGTTGTAGTAGTTGTTGTTGTTGTAGTGTTGTTGATTGTTGTTGTTGTTGTAGTTGTTGTTGTAGTTGTTGTAGTTGTTGTGATTGTTGTTGGTTGTTGTTGTAGTTGTTGTTGTTGTAGTTGATTGTTGTTGTTGTTGTAGTTGTTGTTGTTGGTTGTTGTTGTTGTTGTTGACTGTCGCCCGCCGCGTCCGTTACTGACGTGACGTCATTCCCCTCCGCGGCGCGCGCGGGGTGACGACTCGGAATCGATTCCGACAGAATCGAACAGAATCGACGACTCATCGATTCTCACAGAATCGATATTATCAACGCATCTTCGATTCTCACGGAATCGACGACTCATCGATTCTCACAGAATCGATATTATCAACGCATCTTCGATTCTCACGGAATCGACGACTCATCGATTCTCACAGAATCGATATTATCAACGCAGCTTCGATTCTCACGGAATCGACGACTCATCGATTCTCACAGAATCGATATTATCAACGCAGCTTCGATTCTCACGGAATCGACGACTCATCGATCTCACAGAATCGATATTATCAACGCAGCTTCGATTCTCACGGAATCGACGACTCATCGATTCTCACAGAATCGATATTATCAACGCAGCTTCGATTCTCACGGAATCGACGACTCATCGATTCTCACAGAATCGATATTATCAACGCAGCTTCGATTCTCACGGAATCGACGACTCATCGATTCTCACAGAATCGATATTATCAACGCAGCTTCGATTCTCACGGAATCGACGACTCATCGATTCTCACAGAATCGATATTATCAACGCAGCTTCGATTCTCACGGAATCGACGACTCATCGATTCTCACAGAATCGATATTATCAACGCAGCTTCGATTCTCACGGAATCGACGACTCATCGATTCTCACAGAATCGATATTATCAACGCAGCTTCGATTCTCACGGAATCGACGACTCATCGATTCTCACAGAATCGATATTATCAACGCAGCTTCGATTCTCACGGAATCGACGACTCATCGATTCTCACAGAATCGATATTATCAACGCAGCTTCGATTCTCACAGAATCGAAGACTCATCGATTCTCATAGAATCGATATTATCAACGCAGCTTCGATTCTCACAGAATCGACGACTCATCGATTCTCACAGAATCGACGACTCCTCGATTCTCACAGAATCGAAGACTCATCGATTCTCACAGAGGACGGCTACTTGCGTTGTGGCCGAAACGTCGTGAGAATTATTTTATGAAGTTTTATTTCTATTATTTTATTATGTTTAATTTTTATTATTTTATTATTTATTATGTTAAATTTTTATTATTTTATTATGTTATATTATTATTATTTTATTATTTTATTATGTTTAATTTTATTATTTTATTATGTTATATTATTATTATTTTATTATTTTATTATGTTAATTTTTATTATTTTAATATGTTCTATTTGTATTATTTTATTATGTTTAATTTTTATTATTTTATTATTTCCCTTCTACGTGACTTTACCGACAGAACCAAGAAGATTATTTTATTATGTTTAATTTTATTATTTTATTATGTTCTATTATTATTATTTTATTATTTTATTATGTTAAATTTTTATTATTTTAATATGTTCTATTTGTATTATTTTATTATGTTTAATTTTTATTATTTTATTACTTTCCTTCTACGTGACGACTTTACCGAAAGAACCAAGAATATTGCAATATTTCGATTTAAAGCTTTCGTGACTGCAGGGATTCATCTTATTGGTTCTTTCTGTAAAGTCACGTAGAAGGAAAATAATAAAATAATAAAAATAAAATAAATGTATTGTTTTATTTTTATTCTGCACGTAGAATGAAAAAAAAATAAAATATAAATACATTATTATTGATAATAAAAATAATAATTATTTATTATGTTTTCTTTTTATTCTTTTATTATTTCCCTTCCACGTGACTTTACCGAAAGAACCAAGAAGATGAATAATAAAAGAAAAAAATTAAACATAATAAATTATTTTATTTTTATTATTTTATTATTTCCCTTCTACGTGACTTTACCGAAAGAACCAAGAAGATGAATCTTGTAAAACATTTACACTTTCAACTTTCGCTGGACACTGTGAACACGAACTGCTTATGGGGTCGTAGTTCAAGCGCGGGGTCAGAGGTCAGCAGGAAGCACGTGACGCTGGCGGCCACGTGGCCTCGACTACCCGCGGCCCTGCTGCTGCTGCTGCTGCTGCTGCTGCTGCTGCTGCTGCTGCTGCTGCTGCTGCTGCTGCTGCTGCTGCTGCTGCTGCTGCTGCTGCTGCTGCTGCTGCTGCTGCTGCTGCTGCTGCTGCTGCTGCTGCTGCTGCTGCTGCTGCTGCTGCTGCTGCTGCTGCTGCTGCTGCTGCTGCTGCTGCTGCTGCTGCTGCTGCTGCTGCTGCTGCTGCTGCTGCTGCTGCTGCTGCTGCTGCTGCTGCTGCTGCTGCTGCTGCTGCTGCTGCTGCTGCTGCTGCTGCTGCTGCTGCTGCTGCTGCTGCTGCTGCTGCTGCTGCTGCTGCTGCTGCTGCTGCTGCTGCTGCTGCTGCTGCTGCTGCTGCTGCTGCTGCTGCTGCTGCTGCTGCTGCTGCTGCTGCTGCTGCTGCTGCTGCTGCTGCTGCTGCTGCTGCTGCTGCTGCTGCTGCTGCTGCTGCTGCTGCTGCTGCTGCTGTGCTGCTGCTGCTGCTGCTGCTGCTGCTGCTGCTGCTGCTGCTGCTGCTGCTGCTGCTGCTGCTGCTGCTGCTGCTGCTGCTGCTGCTGCTGCTGCTGCTGCTGCTGCTGCTGCTGCTGCTGCTGCTGCTGCTGCTGCTGCTGCTGCTGCTGCTGCTGCTGCTGCTGCTGTGCTGCTGCTGCTGCTGCTGCTGCTGCTGCTGCTGCTGCTGCTGCTGCTGCTGCTGCTGCTGCTGCTGCTGCTGCTGCTGCTGCTGCTGCTGCTGCTGCTGCTGCTGCTGCTGCTGCTGCTGCTGCTGCTGCTGCTGCTGCTGCTGCTGCTGCTGCTGCTGCTGCTGCGCTTGCTGCTGCTGCTGCCTGCTGCTGGCTGCTGCTGCGGCTGCTGCTGCTGCTGCTGCTGCTGCTGCTGCTGCTGCTGCTGCTGCTGCTGTGCTGCTGCTGTCTGCTGCTGCTGCTGCTGCTGCTGCGCTGCTGCTGCTGCTGCTGCTGCTGCTGCTTGCTGCTGCTGCTGCTGCTGCTGCTGCTGCTGCTGCTGCGCTGCTGCTGCTGCGCTGCTGCTGCTGCTGCGCTGCTGCTGGCTGCTGCTGCTGCTGCTGCTGCTGCTGCTGCTGCTGCTGCTGCTGCTGCTGCTGCTGCTGCTGCTGCTGCTGCTTGCTGCTGCTGCTGCTGCTGCTGCTGCGCTGCTGCTGCTGCTGCTGCTGCTGCTGCTGCTGCTGCTGCTGCTGCTGCTGCTGCTGCTGCGCTGCTGCTGCTGCTGCTGCTGCTGCTGCTGCTGCTGCTGCTGCTGCTGCTGCTGCTGCTGCTGCCTGCTGCTGCTGCTGCTGCTGCTGCTGCTGCTGCTGCTGCTGCTGCGTGTGCTGCTGCTGCTGCTGCTGCTGCTGCTGCTGCTGCTGCTGCTGCTGCTGCTGCTGCTGCTGCTGCTGCTGCTGCTGCTGCCCTCTGCTGTTGCTGCTGTTGCTGCTGCTGCTGCTACTGCTGCTGCCCTCTGCTGCTGCTGTTGCGAGCCGAAGGGCGACGCGGAGAGAAGCAGCAGGAAGCTCTCTCGACTCGCAGGTGCCGTGGTGGTGGTGGTGGTTGTGGTGGTGGCTGTGGTTGTGGTGGTGGCTGTGGTGGTGGTGGTGGTTGTGGTGGTGGCTGTGGTTGTGGTGGTGGTGGTGGTGGAAACAGTGGTTGTGATTGTGGATGTTGTTGTAGTGGTGTCTGTGGTGTTTGTGGTGGTGGCTGTGGTTGTGGTGGTGGTTGTGGTGGTGTCTGTGGTGTTTGTGGTGGTGGCTGTGGTTGTGGTGGTGGTTGTGTCTGTGGTGTTTGTGGTGGTGGTTGTGTAATTGGTTGAAAATATTTGTATTTCTCTCAATTTCCACAGCTTGTATAATTATTATTGGCCAGTAGTACGACTCAAATAACACCAAGGAAATATGTCGATGTTTGTGTGAAACGAATTGTTTTTGGCCACGACTATTTAGATCATGATTATTAGTTTTTGTACCCTTCTATCTGGCAACAAAACCGACACTTTTTTTACAAGGAGTCATGTTTGCATAGACCACAATACCTGCAGTCATAATACAAAAAAACATAACTCTGGTAATGTATGCACTGTCCTTGAAGTTGATTGGTCCACACCCGAGACAGCTTTCCTTAGAGCCTAGTCTCACATGGTCCTTGAAGTTGATTGGTCCACACCCGAGACAGCTTTCCTTAGAGCCTAGTCTCACATGGTCCTTGAAGTTGATTGGTCCACACCGAGACAGCTTTCCTTAGAGCCTAGTCTCACATGGTCCTTGAAGTTGATTGGTCCACACCCGAGACAGCTTTCCTTAGAGCCTAGTCTCACATGGTCCTTGAAGTTGATTGGTCCACACCCGAGACACCTTTCCTTAGAGCCTAGTCTCACATGGTCCTTGAAGTTGATTGGTCCACACCCGAGACAGCTTTCCTTAGAGCCTAGTCTCACATGGTCCTTGAAGTTGATTGGTCCACACCCGAGACAGCTTTCCTTAGAGCCTAGTCTCACATGGTCCTTGAAGTTGATTGGTCCACACCCGAGACAGCTTTCCTTAGAGCCTAGTCTCACATGGTGTTGGACCAATCAACTTCAAGGACAGTGCATACATTATCAGAGTTGTGTTTTTGTTTGCATTATGACTGCAGGTATTGTGGTCTATGTAAACACGACTCCTTGTAAAAAGGTGCGCTCGTGCAAGGGTCGAGAACCTTTTTGACTGGGAGAGCCATAAAAGCCAAATATTTATAAATATATTTCATTGAGAGCCATATAGTGTAATTTTTAACGTATAATACATTAAATATGTCTTACTTTTAATGCGACTTCTGGTGCTATATGGTTTTGCTGATGGCCTTGTAGTCTGGTTCATACGTGGTGAGTTGAGCTTCGTGCAGGCGTGACCCGTGAAATGTGTCTTCAAAACTAATTTCTGTTCACTTTAAAATGACGCAGTATTATTAAGCAAATATCACAAAGTATTTTAAAATCAGTTCCAAACTAATTTTTATTTTTATTATTATTTTTATTATTTGTTTCAACTCAAAATTGTCTGGGAGCCATATGCCGTCACCGGAAGAGCCATGTGTATGGCTCGCGAGCCATAGGTTCCCGACCGCTGGTCCAGCAGTTGGATAGGCCACGGCTGTTGATGGTGATAAGTGAAACGTGTTTAAAACTATCTAGTAACACGGACGGCAAATATTTGAGTAAAATAATGGCAGGAGTTTCATTGATCAAGTAGACAAGCAAATACGTTGCCTAAATGTATTATTATTACTACGTACGGAGTCCTAATACACAATTCAATGGGGGCACATTCCAAATGGACAAGGTCTTAAAATGCACGTCATTTTCATACACAGTTAATGTTGAAGTGAAGTATCACGATGACAATGATCGAAGCACATCAATGGTTCAGGTGCCAGCAGCACAGACCATCCCTTGCTGCATCATGGCCCCATGAATGCCACCGCTGCCCATGGCATTGCCAAGTCAAGCATATCGCATTCACTTGCAGAGAGTTGTACCTGTAAACATCCGCCCTGAGGCCAATACAGTCTTGATTTGGAGTGCTTTTTTAATGTGAGGTTGCCTGAACTGGAATTGTGTAAAGTGTCGTGCATTTTTGATGCGAAGCTCTGTGCGCGTGTTTTTTTTCACGTAAATGTAATTGCAGGCCAGCGACATCAGACTTTTCGTCCTGAGACGGCGGGCTAGAGATTTGATCCAGACGTCTTGTCTCCGTGCACGCCTCGACGATGATGAAGCTACGTCCCCCGGTCCTGTTCCTCTCGCTGCTGCCCACCGTCTTCTTGCTGCTGAGCGTCGCGTACAAGTTCCGCAGGACTGGCTCGCTCGTTCGCGACGACCGCCACGTGCTCAGCAACTCGTCCGTCTTGACGCCAAAGCCGGGGTCCGCTTCCGCTAAGATCGACCGCGTGACGCTGTGCGGGCAACGGGGAGCGCTGCAGAACACGTCCATCGTGCGCGTGCCTCACGCCAACATATTCCTGGTGTCGGCGTACCACGACCGGCGCGAGGGCGGTCGGAGCACGCGCGTCATCGGCATCGCCAACCGGTACGAGCCGGACGCGCTCTCGTGCCGCTTCTGCTGCCGGGGCCGCTCGGGAGATCGTGACGGTCACCGCCAGCACCTACATCCACTCGGATCACTTCGACTTCCCGTACGGCGCGGCCGACTTCCTGTGCGCGGAGCCGCCGGGCTGCTTGCCGGGACACGTGTCCGTCCGGCGGGCCCGCGCAACACCGGACGAGGAAGAGGCCGAGTGGGTGTTCATGCCCGTGCGAAATCGGCTCCGCGCGCCCCGAACCTTCGCGCGGGAATTCAGCGTCTGCATCTCGACGCTCTTCGGCAACTACGGCAACGCGCTGCAGTTCGTGCAGGCGATCGAGATGTACCGCATCTTGGGCGCGGGCCGCGTGACCGTGTACAACACGAGCTGCAGCTCCGCGCTGAACAGAGTGCTCCTCTACTACGTCGAGACGGGCCTCGTCGAGGTCGTCCCGTGGCCCATCGCGGACTACGTGCGAGTGTCCAAAGGGTGGCACTACCCCGAGCACCCGGGCGAGCTGCACTACTACGGCCAGATAGCGGCGCTCAACGACTGCGTGTATCGGCACATGTACAGCACGCGCTACCTGGTCCTCACGGACATAGACGAAGTGATCGTCCCGTTGAAGCACGCCGACTGGAAGGACCTCGTACGGCACTTGAACGACAGGTACGGAGCCGAGATTTACTTGTTCGAAAACCACGTGTTTCCCGACACGGCGTCGGAAGAGTTTGGGTCGAAGTTCCAGGCGTGGGACGCCATCCCGGGCGTCAACATCATGCGCCGCATCAGACGGGAGCCGAACCAGCCGGAGGTCTTCAACCCGACAAAGATGATCGTGAACCCGCGCGCGGTGCTGCAGACTTCGGTGCACAGTGCGCTCAACGCGCTGGGCATCTCGGAGACGGTGCCCGGAGACACGGCGATCATGCACCACTACCGAGCGGCCAAGCGGCCCGACCTGCCGCTCGAGTCGTTGGTCGTGGACCTGACGCTGTGGAGATACAATGCCACTCTGATCAGGAACGTCAACAAGGTCCTCAACCGGGTCTTCTGGAACGTGTAGGCGCAACGGGCGGCGGCGGCGGCGGCGGCGGCGGCGTTGATTGTCGTCTTGCGTTCTTTGCGGTCTTGCAATTCAAGACGCGACTTAACCGAAAGAACCAAAGAATAATTCCCGCAGTCACGAAAGCTCCAAAAGTAAGATTTGATCACTGGCGTTTGTGAGTTCTCCGTTTGAGAACGCGGTCAATGTGTTGAGGGGTAGAGTGGCGACGGGATGTCCCACTCGCCTCGCGAAGAGTGACATCATGTTCCCTCGAGTATTTGAGGGGGGGGTGACCGGTGACGTGGGCGAGGTTTTCGCCAGGAGCCGAGTTCGTGAGCGGTAGAGAGGTGGGGACCCAGCGTAGCATGGGCATAATATGACTTTGAAACCCCCCCGCCCACCTCCTACGCATTTCAATGAATATGCTAAATTCCTCTTCATATTCACATTCTTTTTGTTAAGGCGCTCTTCTTGCACCTCCAACCCAGCTTATATAAAAGCTCCTAGCTTGGCAGTGTCTCATTCTTCACCTGAAGACGGCTGCTTGCGTTGTAGCCGAAACATCGTGAGAATTATGTTTTATTTTTATTATTTTATTATTTCCCTTCTACGTGACTTTACCGAAAGAACCAAGAAGATGAATCCCTGCAGTCACGAAGCTTTAAATCAAACATAAAAATGTTTTATTTTTATTATTTTATTACTTCCCTTCTACGTGACTTTACCGAAAGAACCAAAGAAGAGAAACCAGCAGCAAGTTAGGGGGCTACTTGACCCCGCTGTGGGTAGTGCCCGTTCGCCTGGGAGGCGTAGGGAACCCCCCGTGTACCCTTTCCCCAGGGGAGATGATTGAGCTTATCCAAAGTCTTGTATTATCCCTTCCCCACAAGCTAGGCGGAAGCTCCTAGCAAACCGTTCGGCGTCAGCCCCTGCAACGACTGTCTTCGTGTCGTCCTTACCAACGCAACAAACGTATGGGACGTGTTTAATTGCTGATCTGATGATTGTGTTTACATATTCTTAGGTTTTTTCGGTAAAGTCAGTTTGGTTAAAACATCAAAATTAATGAAAATAAAATAATTTTATTTTCAAAATTAAATAATTTTATTTTCATTAATTTTGATGTTTTAAAAATTAATGAAAATAAATAATTTTATTTTCAAAATTAATAATTTTATTTTCATTAATTTGATGTTTTACCTACACGGTGACTTTACCGAAAAAAACCTAAGAATATGAATCCTTGCAGTCACGAAAGCTTCAAATCTAGAATTGTGTTTACAGTAAAAATTTGTCGAAAGTGTCGGGACGTGCAAGATACTGTTTCTGTATATTTTAAAACCTCTTTGATATTTGTGAGACTGCCGTCCAAACTGTAGATTGGTGTTTGATGAAATTGATTGAGAGATGCCAACACTTTGTATTCTGTGGACATTCAGAACACGGTTTGTTAAACATTAGCCCTAAAAAAATGTTTTTTCACTGTAAATCCTTTACATGCGTGCAGCGTTTTATTTTTATTATTCCATGTTCTGTCTTTTTCTCGAGTAGAGTTTCATTTTTGATCACATTGGGTATTTTTAATTAAAATGAAATACATTTTTTTCCTAAAAAGTTAAAATTTTGGAAATTTCATTTTTATCACATTGGTATTTTAAATTAAATATGAAAAAAAAACATTTTTCCTAAAAAGTGGAAAATTTTGGATTTTTTTCACGAAAAGCAATTGTCACGCACAACGAGTCTGTGTGCAAAATGTCAGCTCGATTGGATCACGGGAAGTGGGTTAAAAACGACCGAAAGATTTGCACGGTCCTAAGCAAGCAAGAAAGCTCGCAGCGACCAATCAGATCGCTGCCCCCCCCCCCCACTTTGACACGTGACGACCAATCAGATCGCTGCCCCTCCCCCCCACTTTGACACGTGACGACCAATCAGATCGCTGTCCCCCTCCCCCCCCACTTTGACACGTGACAACCAATCAGATCGCTGCCCCCCCCCCCCCACTTTGACACGTGACAACCAATCAGATCGCTGCCCCCCCCCCCCCACTTTGACACGTGACAACCAATCAGATCGCTGCCTCCCCCCCCCCACTTTGACACGTGACAACCAATCAGATCGCTGCCTCCCCCCCCCCCCCACTTTGACACGTGACAACCAATCAGATCGCTGCCTCCCCCCCCCCCCACTTTGACACGTGACAACCAATCAGATCGCTGCCTCCCCCCCCCCCCACTTTGACACGTGACAACCAATCAGATCGCTGCCTCCCCCCCCCCCCCACTTTGACACGTGACAACCAATCAGATCGCTGCCTCCCCCCCCCCCACTTTGACACGTGACGACCAATCAGATCGCTGCCCTCCCCCCCCACTTTGACACGTGACGACCAATCAGATCGCTGCCTCCCCCCCCCCCACTTTGACACGTGAAACCAATCAGATCGCTGCCTCCCCCCCCCCCCCCACTTTGACACGTGACGACCAATCAGATCGCTGCCTCCCCCCCCCCCACTTTGACACGTGACGACCAATCAGATCGCTGCCCCCCCCCCCACTTTGACACGTGACGACCAATCAGATCGCTGCCTCTCCCCCCCCACTTTGACACGTGACGACCAATCAGATCGCTGCCCCCCCCCCCCCCCCCCACTTTGACACGTGACGACCAATCAGATCGCTGCCCTCCCCCCCCCCCCCACTTGACACGTGACGACCAATCAGATCGCTGCCCTCCCCCCCACTTTGACACGCGACGACCAATCAGATCGCTGCCCCTCCCCCCCCCACTTTGACACGTGACGACCAATCAGATCGCTGCCCCCCCCCCCCACTTGACACGCGACGACCAATCAGATCGCTGCCTCCCCCCCCCACTTTGACACGTGACGACCAATCGGATCGCTGCCCTCCCCCCCCCCCACTTTGACACGTGACGACCAATCAGATCGCTGCCTCCCCTCCCCCCCCACTTTGACACGTGACGACCAATCAGATCGCCCCTCCCCCCCCCCCCCCCCACTTTGACACGTGACAACCAATCAGATCGCTGCCTCCCCCCCCCCCCCCACTTTGACACGTGACGACCAATCAGATCGCTGCCTCTCCCCCCCCCCACTTTGACACGTGACGACCAATCAGATCGCTGCCCCTCCCCCCCCCCCCCACTTTGACACGTGACGACCAATCAGATCGCTGCCCCTACCCCCCCCCCACCCCTTTGACACGGACGACCCATCAGATCCGCTGCCCTCCCCCCCCCCCGCCCTTTGACACGTGCTGACCATCATGATCGCTGCCCCTCCCCCCTCCCCCCTTTGACATCCGTGATCGACATATCAGATCGCTGCCCTCCCCACCCACTTTGAACACGTGACGACCAATCAGATCGCTGCCCTCCCCCCCCACTTTGACACGCGACGACCAATCAGATCGCTGCCCTCCCCCCCCCACTTTGACACGTGACGACCAATCAGATCGCTGCCCTCCCCCCCCACTTTGACACGCGACGACCAATCAGATCGCTGCCCTCCCCCCCCCACTTTGACACGTGACGACCAATCAGATCGCTGCCCTCCCCCCCCCACTTTGACACGTGACGACCAATCAGATCGCTGCCCTCCCCCCCCACTTTGACACGTGGCGACCAATCAGATCGCTGCCCCCTCCCCCCACTTTGACACGTGACGACACCATTTTTTATTGCACAACGCTGAACGCACGTGCGTCTGTGTGCGGTGAGTGAGTGAGTGTTCAGTTTAATTCTAATTGTTTAATAATCATTAAAGTTCGCGAGTGTCAAGGTAAGGTGCGTTCGCTTGTTTTTATAAAAAACATTTTCTCAAGAGAAGCGTTGTGTTGTTGTTGCGTTGTTGCTGTTGTTGTGCTGTTGCTGCTGTTTGTTGCTGTTGTTGTTGCTGTTGTTGTTGCTGTTGTTGTTGTTGTGCTGCTGCTGTTGTGTTGTTGTTGCTGTAGTTGATGCTGTTGCTGTTGCTGTTGGTTGTTGTTGCTGTTGGTTGCTGTGCTGTTGTTGTGTGTGTTGTTGCTGTTGCTGTTGTTGCTGTTGTGCTGTTGTTGTTGCTGTTGTTGTTGTTGCTGATGCTGCTGTTGTTGTTGTTGCTGTTGTGCTGTTGTTGTGTTGTTATTGTGTTGCTGTGTTGTGTTGCTGTTGCTGTTGCTGTTGTTGCTGTGTGTTGTTGCTGGTTGTTGTTGTTGGTGCTGCTGATGCTGTGGTTTTGTTGTGTTGTTGCTGTTGTTGATTGTGTTGTTGTTGTGTGCGTTGTGTTGTGGTTGTTGTTGTTGTTGTGCTGTTGTTGTTGCTGTTGTTGTTGTGCTGCTGCTGATGCTGTTGTTGTGTGGTTGTTGTGATGTTGTTGCTGTTGTTGTGTTTTGTGTGTTGAGCTGTTGTTGCTGTTGTTGTTGTGCGCTGCTGCTGCTGTTGTTGTTGTGTTGTTGTTGTTGCTGTAGTTGCTGCTGTTGCTGTGCTGTTGTTGTTGTTGATGTTGTTGGTGTGTGTTGTTGTTGCTGTGTTGTTGCTGTTGTTGCTGTGAGTTGTTGCGTTGTTGCTGTTGTGGTTGTTGCTGTTGTTGTGTTGCTGTGGTTGCTGTTGTTGCTGTTGCTGCTGTTGCTGTGTTGCTGCTGCTGTTGTTGCTGTTGTTGCTGATGCTGTTGTTGCTGTTGTTGCTGCTGATGTTGTGTTGCTGCTGTTGCTGTTGTTGTTGCTGTGTTGTTGCTGTGTTGTGTTGCTGTGTTGTTGTTGTTGCTGATGCTGTTGTTGTTGTGTGTGTTGTTGGTTGTTGCTGTTGTGTTGTTGGTTGTTGTTGTTGTTGCTGTTGTGTTGCTGCTGCTGCGTTGTTGTTGTTGTTGTGTTGTTGTTGTTGTTGCTGTTGGTTGTTGTTGTTGCTGCTGTTGTTGCTGCTGTTGTTGTGCTGTTGTGTTGTTGTTGTTGCTGCTGCTGTTGTTGTTGTTGCTGTGTTGTTGTTGTTGTGTTGCTGTTGTTGTTGTTGCTGTTGTTGT